GCCCACCAATGGCAGTTGACTCCACTCCTCCACCCACCTCCATCCACCTTTTTCCCGGTCTTCGGGACTTCTTGGAGCGGAGTTATTTTCGTCGCAAACTCCGCCCACTTTGGTCAAGCCCCGCCCACCAATGGCAGTTGACTCCACTCCTCCACCCACCTCCATCCACCTTTTTCCCGGTCTCCGGGACTTCTTGGAGCCGAGTTATGAATTTTCGTCGCAAACTCCGCCCACTTTGGTCAAGCCCCGCCCACCGATGACAGCTGGCCTCCACTCCTCCACCCACCTCCATCCACCTTTTTCCCGGCCTCCGGGACTTCTTGGAGCCGAGTTATGAATTTTCGTCGCAAACTCCGCCCACTTTGGTCATGCCCCGCCCACCGATGACAGTGGCCTCCACTCCTCCACCCACCTCTATCCACCTTTTTCCGGCTCTCTAAGACTTCCCCGGCCCGAATTATGAGGACTTGTAGAAAACGCTGTACACTTCAGAGCGCGCCCCGCCCATTGTGGGCGGGCCTCCGCCCACGTCATGTATGCTGGAACACCTTAGACATTGCTCCCCTACACCAATTTGTTTTCTGCTCTGTAGGCCTTTTACATGGGACATTTAATCGCAGTAGCCGCTGCCGTAGTAGCCGCTGCCGTAACTGCGCCCGCGCTTTCAAGCAGCGCACGTGGCAACCGACAGCGAAAGGTGGGCTTGCGGACGAAGGTGTGGATTGCGGGTCGGCGAGCTTCTTGCGCCTTTGTCGCGCACTTTCAAGCCGCAAAAGGGGCGCGACATCAACGCTTGTCCGCCTGTCTACTACGCTCGGGTATGGAACAGGTGAGCGTGCCTTATCCCGGAGCGTGCCTGTAAAAGTGTGCAAGCGAGAAGCTTTTTTTGACACCTATGATCAGTTTCATCCAAGGTTTTGATCCTGATCATCTAGTAAACCGAAAGGCATCTGCTGAAGTTCGATCCATGGCACAGTTCTCTTTCCGGTAGTCAACTTGCTGTATGAAAATCATAACTTGAATGATTGATCCCTTGGTTTTGCGTGAAATGTGTTTTTTTTCATCTCCTTTCTTTTTTGAGGTACTGAAATTTCTCGAGAAGGAGACTGTAAAGGGAAAGTGTCCTCTGGCCGGAAACAGCGTTCATATGGATAGGAGGTATGATAGTTGGTCAGATGATATTATTGAACATTTTTTCTCACAGATCTTTGCACAGGTTTATTTCCAAATATATGCCTCGCCTTGATAAGCATCTTCACTACCGTATTGTCGACGTTTCCACGGTCAAGGAGGTAGGCTTAGTTCTCACGGTATAAGCGTTTTTGAATAAATTGTTTCTTTTGCAGCTGGCTTCCAGATGGTTTCCTGATGAGTACGCTAGAGCACCATCGAAGAGGGGCACTCATAGAGCCTTGGACGATATCCGAGAGAGCATTGAAGAACTGCGCTACTACCGTTCAGCAATCTTTCGTCAAACTTCCGATGCAAACAGATTTTAGTCTCACTCAGTGCCTATTAGAATTTTTTGAAGGATGTTCGAGGGAGAGTTGCCCAGTGGGGGAAATTGAGCGGATGGGGATGTTTGACATTCAGAAACAAGAAGTCTGTCTTATGTAGTAACACTCCTATACATCAGGGATTTGGGCAATGCAGGGTCGAACTAGTGCTGCCGAAGATGCAAAATACAACCGTCCACTAGTGCGTGACTACACGTCGCCATTTTTATGTACAAGAAGGTCTGTGAAGAAATGTGCTGGCTAAGCGCGCACTGGAAATTGAAGCTCGCTATGTTTTGGAGCAGAAGTAAAAAAATGCTCATTTAAAAGTTAGCTTCAAAAATGCTCATTTAAAAGTTAGCTTCTATCTCTATAGAGAGCATTTTACAGAACGGTGGGGATGCTAGATTTTTACAAATGTTCGCTCAGTGCTTAACTAGCGGGTATTTCGAAAGCTGACGCTAGACAGCGCAAAGATTCCAGAGAGATAGTTGCACTTCCAACATTGAAACTTATCAAAATTTTCTCTATGGCCCAGTAAGTTATCGCACTTAAAAATATTTACAGGAATAAATTTTACGCTTGAGGGCTTCAAATTTTCCGCTTTTGAGCAGAACAATACGAGGAGTCTTTCAGGGCAAGCCACGCTTTTTCAAAACGGTTTCTTGCATATTGTAGGGATGCATGTAGGGAACACAAAACCATGTTTCATTTTCGCTGAACGGTTTTAGCAGTACCAAAAAAGAAGCATAAGGTACTGTTAATGGTTCGATCCCCCGTGGCGACTAAATTTTGCATTTGGGTTGGCGCCTTCGAATTGGTGCCAAATCGTGCCAAATGTCACAATCAGGTGTCACACTTCATCGTCAGGACCATTTTGAAGCCACAAGTGGCCGCCAACCTTAATTGCAAAATTTAGTCGCCGCGGGGGACCGAACCATCGAGGGTATCATTCACCACTTTTTGATACTACTAAAACCGTTCAGCGAAAACGAAACACGGTTCTGTGGTCCATACATGCGTCCCTACAATATGCAGAAACCATTTCCAAAAAGCGCGGCTTGCCCTGAAAGACCTCCCTTGTTAGAGAATGGCAAATTATCTTCTTTATGAATTTTTGTTGTATCTGCCAAAAATTTCATTATGGTAATCGTTGTGTTGTTACGTCTTGGCTCTGTTTTGTCGTGTTCTTCCATGTATTTTCGTACATGCAAATAAATATATAAAGTTTTGTCCGGAGGAAAGTTTCCGCAAAACAAAGGACGCATTCGAAATCTGGAATATTAATGTCTTATTTATGTCTTTAAGTTGGCATAGCATTGTAGAACATGCACAAAAAGCAATTCGAAAAATTGCGCCATCGCGGGAAGTTGTCCAAAACAACGGCTGCCTGCGGTTTGCACGCACATTCGAAGCTTTCCTTCCTCGAACCCAAAACTGAAGGTAGATCCAGATCCTGTAGAATTTCAGCCCTTTTGAGCATATCGAGAGGCATATTTCGTTTTGTAAAGTTGACGAACATGAAAATATTCTTTCGGAAAATTGGTGAGTAAAATTGCTCTCCGCCCTAAACAGGATTCCTCCATTTTGAAATTTGCCTACACAGTTAACGGAAGGTGGCTAGTGCGGCCATTCCCTCAAAGGAAGTCGTCATAATTGCTATGGAGACGATAACGAAAGTTACCTACTGGATTGGTAGGAGCCCTACCCAATGAGACAACAGGCAGTGTTTCAGTGACCGCTCTATTAACGGCGTGGTAAGCACCGAAACCCTTTTCCGGGTAGCAAAAACACCAAAAACACCTCCGTTTCGATGTGGAAGGTATGCAGCAGGCGCGTATTAGCATAGATTCCTTTAAAGGAGGATTGCACGGAAAGAACGAAGGTCGAAGAAGGGAGAAATCGCCTAGTGGGGAGAGCGGTGAATCTCTTGAGGGTGCGGACAGACACGCAATCGGCATCGAAAGATTTGACCTCTGAGATCTAGCATGGCTCAAAGTTGGCGAGTTCGGCAGGGTCAACCCTATCGTTGTGACTCTTCGAAAATTTTTTACGACCCCCCCCTTCATGGTTGATTTGATACGACCCCCCCCCTTGTACGTTACACTTGTGTAAAGACAGATTGACCTTAATATTTATTGCTACTCAAGTCAAATCAGCTTCCGAATAATGAGATGCACTCGAAGGTACCCGAAGGGTACCCCGAGGGGTTACTAAACTAAGAGATCGCCAAACTGAATCAGTTGCCTTAACACATTGTGGACCGCCGTTGAATGAAAACTTCGCCAAAAATGAGTCATCTATCAATAAATTTTTTGCCCGCTTGAAGATGTGTGCAAACTGTTCAGAAAGATTGTAAAGACAATAAGTCAGACGAAACCATGCTCTTTCAATCATGCGATGTGATTTCAAATTTGCTGGTTGGCGCCCTTTTGCCTTGCTGACGGTGGAGCGCATCTGCTCAAGGTGAGGAGCCGTCGAACGGGAATGTGAAAAGTTTAGGAGTTTTTTTTGTTTAATTTCAGGTAGTCCGGAAGATATCGGCGGATGTTGGATCAGCGTGGTTCATCCTTCTCAAGGAGTGCCCATTTTTTCTCAAACCCTTCACAATGAAAAAGTTATAAGCCAAAAAATTAGATTGCAAGAGAATTTTTACACTCCTCTTTCTAGGGCTATAACTTCCTTCATGTTCGAGCTTCAGCGCCATAGTGATTTGATTTAAAAAATTCAAATTATTCTCTAGCCAATCATGGGTATAAATTCTTCGAAAGTTAATTTATTAAAAATTTTGGACGTTGTGACTTTCTCTGGTGCAAACCGACTTTTTTGCTTTCAAACGATCATAACTTCCTTCAAAGTCATTCATTTGGAAGCTGAACGCGATATAACAACTCCAGGATTCAAGCTTTCTAACGAGTACCCAAACGTTCCTGCAAAATCAGTAGTTCAAAATTTAGTCCCGTTGTAACCATTATAAAGGGCTGGTGTAACCATTTCTTTGAAAACGCGACTTTTTTACCTTCAAACGATCATAACTTCCTTAAAAGTCATTCATTTAGGAAGCTGAACGCGATATAACACACTCCAGGATTCAAGCTTTCTAACGAGTACCCAAGCGTTCCTGAAAAGTAGTTCAAAATTTAGTCCCGTTGTAACCCTCAAATTTGAGGGGTATTTTTTGAGCCACTTTCTCGAAAGCGCGAGTTTTCTTAAGTTCCACTGCCCGTAACATCTCGCAAGACCAATTTCATGTTTAATTTAGGATGTGCTAGAATGCTCCGAGCATGCGCTTGCACTACATCCCTTCCCTTGGTGCGCGCCACGCCTCGGGCGCCCTTCTAATTCGCTGATTCATTTGAAAGCTCATTCAGAGGGAAGCGTGGTTTACAGATGCTCTAGTATCAGTAATCTTGCGCAAACGTATCGTGCCGGCTATCATGCTGGTCTCTAAAGGCATTAGTTTCATATGTGGTCTCGTGGCTGTCACAATGCGAGTACTTTTTTCAGGATGCTGCAATCTTCCACTTCATGACTGCGTCCTTGCAGGGAGAAGGCTTTGCATAATTGCTATAACTATTCACAAACACTTTCTTTGCTGCGTTTGCTCTTCTCCTTCGTACCACTATCCATACTCAGTAGGACATCACCAAGAATTTTCAGTGCCGGCCACCAAAAAATTACGACCCCCCCTCCAAGCTCAATTCAGTACGACCCCCCCGTTGTGACTCGTCACAACGTAGGGTTGACCCTGCGGCGATCTCCGCCCACCGATCGTCTGATCACTCGCCGTAGTACAATACGTGGCGAGTGATTAGATAGCTGAGAGAGCGTAGGGTTGAAGAGGGCAAAGCGATGAGAGTCCATCAATGCTCAAATCAACGGACAAGGAAGGGGTCCCATTTCTCCGGTTCTGGGCCGTTTTTCGTGGTTTCGCTTTCTTTCTGGTACTACTCACCATCTCTACCTCAATTTAAAATGGGTTAGGGGCGGCCCGCCCGCCTTTTTCCATCGACATTCGTGCGCTTTTAAGATTAGGCCTCGCAGTGTTGTGTCCTTCGGAAGACGGGCAGCAGTAGAATATTTATTAGAAGACATTGAACTGAACTACAATGAAACTGTACACTTATATACCGTACTGGCCCGCCAGATCTCTGGTCAAAATCTAGCAGGTCGCGTAGGTTACAGATCAACTACAAAAGAAAGAGATCACTTGGTGTCCCAACACCTCCCCCCTAAGAAGTTGACGGCTCTGGTAC